TCTAACCGCTTTTAATAGAGTTTTAATTGCTTTTAGGATTATGGAGTTTATTTAAATAAGTCGCGATGTCGCGCACTTATTTGTTTTTGTACACGTCACAAATCATGCCACGTGAAACGTACCCGTGATTCGCAACATGCTTATTTTAATTATTATTTGAGGTTGGGGGTCAAGTCACGCGAGACGTGCACTCGAATTTAGGAATTAAGTGTCATGATTATGCCACGGGAACCGTACCCATAGCCACGACAATTCATATTATTAATCGCGCCTAAAGCAAGCTACGATGTTCATAAGTCATTTTCCTAAACTGATTTGAGAATATTGTGAGGCAAGGAGTTATGAAGTGAATTTTTGGGGAAGGATGTATGATGCAGCCTTTTGAAATCATAAAATAGCCATTCGCCGCACTTTACGCAGATGTAAAAACAGAGAATGCAACTCACAAATTAGAGTCAGAATAACGTAATTAATCGTGTCATTTTTATACAAGGCAAGTGTGAAGCAGACAACCAGCAAAAAATGATGCACTAAAATCGAAAGGCTATTATATAGATTATAGAGAAGCATATCTAATTGGTCATAAGCAAAATAACCACATGAAAAACACAGAGCAGAATATGCATATGGCCAAGTGTGCTCCACAAGTTGTGAGTGCTCAAACATCTTATTATTTACGTCACTTGATGACGTCATAATTATCCATTGATTAGCTAAAATGAAAAGTACTGGAGCTGAAGTAGTGAATGAGTGGAGGAGAGATACAAATATTTTACATAGAAACTGCAATTCAAGAAACAGATTTCAATTGATTTTATCTCAAACTTAATAAATGAAACAACCCCTTCTTATCACTACACATTTATTTTAAATTCAGAAAGAAACTAAAAGTATGCATCTGACCCAACAAGCTCAAAAATCACAACAACTGATAAGGGAAATTGAACCACCAGTAAGTCATCAAAACGATTAGACACAGAATATCACAATGAAATTCACACCAAACAAAGCCGGCAAGGAATATAACATTTGTATTAAATCTGAACTTTGAGTTCTACAACAAGAAAATCGCAAAACAAACAAACATACTTGGAAATCATTGACTGCTTAAAATGCCAAATACAGGGCTAAGAGGACGAAGATGAAGCTCAACAAATCAGCAGTACAACAACAAACAACAATGATTTCTAACGCCAAAAATCCCGCCTGAAATGAGTGACTAACCTCCCCTTTTTGTTGATGAAATAGAGTAACTGATGCTGGAAATTATCTAGGCGGTGTTTGTGAGTATGTCAGTCGGTTTTCAGGCGTATGGACTGAAGGAGTTTCTATGAATGATTTTCGACGTGTGAAGTGGTGATTGCTTGAATTTTCTCTAAGAAGAACAATGAAGGAGAGGATTCTCTCTTTGTTTTTTGTCTATGTGTGTGTAGGGTGGTGTTGAAGGGTGAGAGGATAGTGTGAGGAGGGAGGCAGCTGATTAGGGTTAATTTTTGGGGGAGATTCGTTCTTCTCTCGGCGGCTAGGGTTTTTGTTTGGAGAAGATGAAAAGGAGAGAAAAAGAGGCGGCTTAGGGTTTTTTGGAATGGGGAGGGGGTCCAAACTTCTGGTCTCTTTTTTAGGAATTAGGGTAATTTTTGTTAGAGATTAGGGAGAGGCCAGGAACGAAGTAGTTTCGGTGCCAAAGTACGTCATTTTGGGTAGTGAAATTGAACCGGGTATATGGGGTGAAATTGGGCTATGCTGAAGGGGAATTGGGTTGAGGGCTGTTGGGCTATGAAAATTGTTTTGAGCCCAATTTTCCAAACAAGCTTCTCCTTTCTTTCTTTCTTTCTTTTAATTTCAAAATTAGCCAATTTATTGAACACTTTTAATTCCAACTCATTTGCAGAATTAACCTAATGATCTTTTTTTCAATTAATTAATTTAATTAACTAATAATGCATGTAATGTTACTAATGTATTTTTTGGTATTTGATGTGTGGCTATAATTTCATAGTTTATGTGCCTTGCATTATACATGCTTTAATGATAAATTATACTTTATTTGTGCCTAATGGACTCTATTTTATGTGTAGGTGAATTTGAGATGAAATTATAGCAAAAGGGATACTTAAACGTTGAAAGTGTGCTCGAGAACAGTGAAAAGGAGAAAGCTAGCGAAGCCAGGCCTAAAGTAGGCGTTAGACCTGGCGACGCCAAGCTTGTAGTAGGCGTTAGACTTGGCAACGCTAGGCTTGTAGTAGGCGTCAGACCTGGTGAGGAAAAGCAAAGGCAAGCTTAACCAGGTGTTATGCCTGGCGACGCCAGGCCTGGGGCGAGGTCCACCAGGCGTTATGCCTGGCGAAGTAGGTCTGGGGAGTGCACATTCCGAGTTTTGAAGACTTAATTCGTCTCCTGGTTCGACTAGGACTTGAACTACACGTTTAGGTCTTTTTCTACACATATAAATAGACCTAAAAACTCCACTTGAAATAGGTTTTGGCGACCAGAGGCAACGACATCACGTGGATAGCTTTTGGAGGAGAAAATCATAGAGTTCTTCATCCCTTTTTCTTTTCTTTGTAATTTGTTTATGCAAAATACTCTGAAAATTGTTACTACAAACATGAGTGGCTAAGCACTCTACGTTCTAGGGTTGTGGTTGACATGATTATTAACGTTTATTAATTACATCTTCGTTAATTCGGATTTTCATTTTGTGGTTGTTTCTCTAATTCTGTGCATAATTGCTTAATTGTCTGGAAAGCAGTTGAGTTCTATTTACTATCTATGCTATGCTTGGAAAAGCCGTATTTAGATTAGAGTAGAATTAGAGAGTGCTTGTTTCTGAACCCGTGGCTCGGGGGAAGATTTCGCGGTTAGGATAGGAATATACCTAACAACCTTGCTTAATTGAATACCGTATTATATTCGTTCTTGATAGACTCAATACCATAGGAATATAGGGCTGATATATTGTGGGCGGGCGAGTAGTATTGTGGGAACAAACTATTCATATAAAAGATCCGGTTAATTAGCAATCATAGATAATCTGGATTAACGAGTGTGATTATTGAACTTAATAGGATTGATAAACCAATCACAACCCTGGAATTTTCCTCTCCTTTGAAGTAAAATCTCGTCATACAAAATCGCATTCTTGATAATTTAGTTGTTATTTGTTTAATTTCTGTAGTAGTAGATCAATAGAAAAATATTACTCTTAAATATCTTGGACAATTAGTTGATTTTTGTTTACTTAGTTAATGTTCAAACTAAGTCTCTGTGTGTTCGACATCCGACTCTCGAGTCACTTTATTACTTGAGGACCATGTATACTTGCGTGTGTGTTTGGTCCCGACAAGTTTTTGGCGTCGTTATCGGGGACTTAGTTATTGATTGTGTAGTTAAGTTAAGCTTTTATTCGTTATTTGTTCAAGTTTTAATTTTTAGTTTGCTTTATTTGTAATAATGCAGGCTCTTCTCTTAAATGCGGAGGAGTAGAAGCGCAAACAATATCCTTCCTCTTGATCCTGAAATCGAGAGAACACTTCATAGAGTGAGGAGGGAAGTTGAAGCTAGAACTAGAATCACAAAAGAGTTGGACATCATAGTTCAACCACAGCCAATAGAGATGGCAGGTAATGAAGAGTGTCCGGTGATAGAAGCTGCAAGGCCCAATCTGGCTCTTATGACTCAGGCGATTGTGAAGCCAGACATCACGGGTCACTTTGAACTCAAACAGTACATGGTATAGCTGATTCAATCCACATGGAAATATGTGAGTTTATCTCATGAAGACCCGCAAAGGCACATTCGAAATTTCTTGGAAATTACAGACACTTACAACTATCCGAACGTTTCCAAGGATTATGTCAGGCTGACACTGCTTCCCTTTCCACTACTGGAGGAAGCTAAGGAATGGTTACAAGGAGACCGCGAACTCAATCCACAATTGGGACGATCTTGCAAGGAAATTCTTAATCAAGTTTTTCCCACAAAGAAGACAAAGTCACTGAGGAGCCAAATTCTGGGGTTTCAACAACGAGATGGAGAGACTCTTCGACAAGCTTGGGAAAGATACAAGAAACTACTCAGAGACTGCCCACACCATTGTCAGACTGATGAGGTATTGGGTCACACTTTCGTTGATGGGTTGGACGAGGCATCAAAGATGAATCTTGACTCAGCATGTGGGGTAGCTGCATGGCAAGACCGTATAGTGAGATCCAAATCCTGCTAAACAATTTCACTGCTAATGATAATAATTGGCAAGGAGATAGGGAACCATGAAGAGCACTTAAACAAAATGAAGTGGGGCTGATCGAGCTTGATGAATTCTCATCAATGAGGGCAGAAATAGTGAGATTAGCTAATCAGATGAATAAAATGACAATGCACCATGCACAACAGATGCAACATGTGCAACGGATGTCTACTTGCTGCGAGTTATATGGTGAAGGTCGCACAAGTGACATATGTCCCGTGAATCTTGAATCAATTTACTACGTGGGGCAACAAGCTAGAGGGCCGATGAATCAACATGCTCAATATGGTAACATATACAATCCAAACTGGAGGAATCATCCTAACTTCTCTTGGGGTGGAAATCAGAATATCAGGCCTCAAGCGAATTACAATCATCCACCTTAACCTCCACAACAAGCAGAGGAGAGTTTGACCGACATGATGAAAAAGCTATTGATGGACAATCAGAAAGTTATGGCTGAGAATCAATAATTGCGCACAGAGTTCAGAAATCCAGTGAGGCAGTTTGGGCAAATGGCAAACAATCAGAATACTAGACCTGCTGGAGCTCTCCCGAGCGATATTGAACCTAATCCTAAGGCTCAAGTCAATACGGTTACCTTGAGAAATGAAAGAAAATTAGAAGAAGTTCCAGAGAAAAAGAAGTATACAGCTAGACCTGAAGGAGAATTAGTTCCTAAGATCGTTGAGGAGAATAAGAAAGAAAAGCAGAAATTGTGACAAGGCAACCACCTCCGTTTCCACAAAGTATGCAAAAGCAAAAAGATGATGCTATGTACAAGAAATTCTTAGATATTTTGAGCCAAGTGCGTGTGAATTTGCCTTTGGTGGAAATTTTGCAGGAAGTGCCTAAGTATGCAAGGTATCTTAGAGATATTGTGGCAAACAAGCGAAGACATACGGAGTTTAAAACAGTTGCACTTACTGAAGAGTGTAGTGCTAGAGTTCAAAGTAAACTCCCTCCTACGTTGAAAGATCCTGGGTGTTTCACAATTCCTCTGTCTCTTGGAAAACAAGAGCTGGTAGAGCCCTGTGTGATTTAGGCTAGTATAAATTTGATGCCATCCTGTTTTTTCAAGCAACTCGGATTGGGGGTGCTTAGACGTACTACAATCACTTTGCAGTTAGCTGATAGGTCACTAGTTATGCCAGAAGGAATTATTGAGGATGTGTTAGTTCGAATGGGAAAGTTTGTTCTTCCTGCTGATTTTATTGTTCTTGATTACGAGGCGGATGAGGAAGTACCCATTATTTTGGGGCGACCATTCTTAGCTACTGGTGGAGCGTTTATTGATGTTAGGGAAGGGAAGTTGAAGATGAGAGTTGGCGATGAGGAAATCACTTTTAATATGTACAAGGCACTTAAGCTCCCTAAGGATTATGAGGACTTGTGCATGATTACTGCGGTAGAACTGAAGGGGATAGAACAGAGTCCTGATGTGAATTATAGTGATTCGGATGGGACAACTGAGTTGGAGGAGGTGGTGTTGCAAGCTGAGTGTGTAAGGACGATTGAGAAAAGAGCCAGAGATGAAAGAGGAGATCTTCTGAGATAGTGTAAAAAGGCTAGGACTTAATGGGAGAAAGAAGAAGAGAAAGCACCCAGTCTGAGCAGAGTAGCAGTGTCGTGCCGCGACATTAAACCAGGCGCTTGTTGGGAGGCAACCCAGCTTTACTGCTTTGTTTTATTTTTATTTTATCTTATTATTGTGGTAGTGTTTGTTTTTGTTTTGTAGGATTATAAGAATTGGAAGCAGAGCCATTGGAAGAGTGCAAAAGCGAGTTAGATGGTGAGGACTAAATGTGTGGTACCCACACAAAGGACCATGCCTGGGGGAAGTCTGAGTACCTCGTGAGCCTCTATTGCTTCGGTCTTTGGCCTCTCAGGGAGTTTCTTGTCCACCCTCGTTATTGTTTTGCTTTAATTGTGCATTGGGGACACTCTCTTTTAAGTGTGGGGCGAGAGAATTCTCTAGATGATTAGTAGTAGGATGTAGAAAAATGTTAACTTCTTATTTGTGATTTCGTAGTTGTGTAGTATCGAAGTAGTTATGAAAAAAAAAAGTCGAACAAAAAGAAGTAGAAAAATTGGAGTTTTCCCGATGATGGATCACCTAGACAGTTTTCTTGAGGGATTTAAGTCCAAAGAAAAAGGACAAAAAAAAAATTCTTTGTAGGTAGTGTAGTAATTCCCCCTTGGTTTTTCTTCGTGCCGCGGTTCTTTTCCAAGGGTTTTGTTTGAACCAGGTGTAGAGAGTTTTATTTTTTTAGGAGAGGAGCCATTGTGATGTGAATTGAATTGAAGCAATATCTCTTAACTTTGTTATGCTTTGAGAATAGTGAGTACTTTGGTTGTGATGCTTAGGCTCAGTTTTTGACTCTTGTATAAGTACCTTAAATTGTATAATCTTAAAATTGCTTAACTGTTTTGACTAGAGTGTCTTGATGAGTCCAATCCTGAGTGAGTTATGTGCCATGTGTGTGTGAGGTTTGTATGTTATTCTGTGCATTGCATTTGATGTCTAGAACTTGCCCTGTGTGTTTGCAAAGCGAAATAGTAGTTTTGTTCAGTCTTGGAAGTGATATAGGCATTTCTTTGTTGAGCCAGATATATATATTGTACCTACCTAATTGTTATGTATCGTAGTTAACTCCGTTGAGCCTGTAATCCTGTTATCTTTGGCAACCACATTACAAGTCTTACCTATTTGTTTGAATTAATCATCTATTTGAACCTTTTCACCTCTCATGAGCACTTGAATTGTTATGAACTTTGTAAAAGTTAAAGCGTGGGGTGGTTGATTTGACTTTTGAGTGGAACTAATGAAATAAGGAGAAAGGTGCAAAAAATAAGAGCCACTTGAAGTGAAAAAGAAGAAAAGAAAAAAAAATAGTTGTATTGATGTGAAAAAGTATTCCGTGATAGTGGTGACTCTTGATGTAATTGTGCTTAAAGAAATATGGAGTTAATATACATTGATGTGAAGGTGGAGTTATGGTTTGATATAAGTATGAGGTTTGGATGTTAAAGTATATGTATTAAAGTGCTTAGGGAGGTGTAGCCACTCTTATACCCAAATGTATCCTACTCGACCCGCAGCCTACATTACAACCAATGAAAGTCCTACTTGATCTTAGACTGAATGAGCTCGATTAGCAGAGTAGTACACTACGGGCAAGCCTATGGTGCATCTTTTGTAGCATATGAATGTTATTTATGAGAGTGAGTGAATTCTTTCTATCTTGAGTTCCTAATTGTTCTTAAATTTTATTGTTTGTAGAATACTCTCTTTTGTTGTGTGAGGGCACTTGATTCATGAAGGAAAGGTAATGTCATTGACCTCTATGTTAGAGTAAGTGAGTGAATTGTGAAATAATGCATGGTACTTGTGAGTCAAATCTTGAGGTGAAGATGTTACATCCTTGTGCTTAGTCTATTTTAAAGATTCTTCGTGTGATGAGTTAGGAGGATTGTTTAAAAAGGTTGTGTCTATAAGTGTAGTTTGATTGCTCGAGGATGAGCAATGTTTAAGCGTGGGGTATTAATGTGTGGCTATAATTCCATAGTTTCGTACATTATGTGCCTTGCATTTTACATGCTTTAATAATAAATTGCACTTTATTTACGCGTAGCGGAGTCTACTTTATGTGTAGGTGTTGGAGATGAAAGTATAGCAAAAGGGATACTTAAACGTTGAAAGTGTGCTCGAGAACAGTGAAAAGGAGAAAGCTGGCTAAGCCAGGCCTAAAGCAGGCGTTAGACCTGGCGACGCCAGGATTGTAATAGGCGTTAGACCTAGAGACGACAGGATTGTAGTAGACGTTAGACCTGGCGAGGCAAGGCAAGGCAAGCTTAACCAGGCGTTATGCCTGGCGACGCCAGGCCTGGGGCGAGATCCACCAGGCGTTATGCCTGGCGACGCCAGGTCTGGGGAGTGCACATTCCAAGTTTTGAAGACTTAATTCGTCTCCTGGTTTGACTAGGACTTGACCTACACGTTTAGGTATTTCCCTACACATATAAATAAACCTAAAAACGCCACTTTGAAACAGGTTTTGGCGACCAGAGGCAAGGACATCAAGTGGATAACTTTTGGAGGAGAAAATCATGGAGTTCTTCATCCCTTTTTCTTTTCTTTGTAATTTTTTTATGCAAAATACCATGAAAATTATTACTACAAACATGAGTGGATAAGCACTCTACGTTCTAGGGTTGTGGTTGACATGATTATTAACGTTTATTAGTTACATCTTCGTTTATTCGGATTATCATCTTGTGGTTTTTCTCTAATTCTGTGCATAATTTCTTAATTGTCTGGCAAGCAGTTGAGTCCTATTTACTATCTATGCTTTGCTTGGGAAAGCCGTGTTTAGATTAGAGTAGTATTAGAGAGAGATTGTTTCTGAACCCGTGGCTCGGGGGAAGATTTCGCGGTTAGGATAGGAATATACCTAACAGCCTTGCTAAATTGAATACCATATTATATTCGTTCATGATAGACTCAATACCATATGAATATAGGGTTGATATATTGTTGGCAGGAGAGTAGTATTGTGAAAACATGCTATTCATATAAAGGATCCGGTTAATTAGCAACCATAGATAATCTGGATTAACGAGTGTGATTATTGAACTTAATAGGATTGACAAACCAACCACAACCCTGGAATTTTCATCTCCTCTGAAGTAAAATCTCGTAATACAAAATCGCACTCTTGATAATTTAGTTGTTATTTGTTCAATTTTCGCAATAGTAGATTAATAGAAAAATATCACTCTTAAATATCTTGGACACTTAATTGATTTTAGTTTACTTAGCTAACAATCAATCAAAGTCTCAGTGGGTTCGACGTCCGACCCTCGAGTCACTTTATTACTTGACGACCGCGTATATTTGCGTGTGTGTTTGGTCCCAACTGTATTTTAGTGTTTTACAAATGCAATTAATTATGCAATTAAAACCTAAAGAAATGTAAAGATTCAAAATATTTTTGTATTTTCTTTAGGATATGCAACTTAAAAAAATGCATCAAACATGAATACGTACAAAGCAAACTAAGTAAAAATATAAAAAAAAATTAAAAGCTATTTTTGGATTTTTAGGAGTAATTTTATATTAGGATAAAAATTAGGTGCTCACATATTACACATTCATCTCTTCCTCTTCTTTTCGGCTTTTTCCATCTCTTCAGTTTCTTCCTAAAAATTATAACGTTTGAAGGTAGTAAGAACTCAACAAAATGCTAGAGGCTTTAGATACAAGATTCTGGCAGCTTCCCAACAAGCTTAGTGAACACTCATTATGTTCCATCAGGTAATTCTAAATTTCATGTTTTCACCACCTTTTATTGGATAATCTTTAACAAATTATTTTACATGCATCATTATGGTATTGCCAATATGGGAAATCCTGCAACTGCAAGTATTATTATATCAAACAAAACTTTCAAACTGTGAGTGCTCTTGGAACAGTTCCAGGTATCATTCTTGAAAAATTCATATATATAAGATACTCATTTTTTAGTTTTTACCGTGAATAATTTTGTAACATTATTTTGTATCATGCTAACTAAATAGTCTTTGGACGTAAGTAATACAAATTTAATTATTTTCTCCCCCACCAACTTATTTTGTCATTCCTTTTGTCGTTCTTTTGAGATCTTCTTTTTCTTGTAAGTTCTTTAACCGTTCGTAATTGTAGGCCTAGAACATATTACCTTGGATGCAACTCCATTTATCATGATTTCTTATTTTTTGGTAATTCATTGATGTTTTATTTTTTCCTGATAATAAATGTTCCCAAGTGTTGTTTGTTCTATTTTATTTCTCTTATATGGTGGATGTCATTTCATTTATCATGTTTTTGCTTTTTGGTAATATATATATATATATATATATATATATATATATATATATATATATATATATATATATATATATATATATATATATATAAAATTGTAGTCAAATGGTTTAGTTGGCCATTACAAATAAATTTTTAGTTTCATGATCCTATCTTTTTTNTTTTCGTTTTATTTTCTTTTATTTGAATAGAAGGCAAGTTCGTCAAAAAAAAAAAAAAAAAGGTTTTAGTATCTAATAAAATTTAAAAACATCAAGTCCTCAGATCATGTATTATGAAATATATAAGACTAAGGGAATCTTGTATTAACCTCTCTCCACAAAAAATATATGATTTTTTCCCTTAAAAGTTCTTTTTCCATTTTTAAGAATATTTGATAACAAAAAAATGTAGTTTTCTAAGCTCTAATTCTACAAAAACATTTATCTTGTGATTTTTTTCATCAATATATAAAATTAGTTTTGTTAGTCATACAGTTGAAAAATTCTATCTTTAATTCTTAACAAATTTGTAAATAAAATCCTTTCGAAATGTGCTGCTATTTCTGACAGCAGCGCGAAGCGCGGAAAATTCCCTAGTTAGCTATAAAGAGGAAATAGGTACGGAGTGGATAACTGAGGATACTAAAAGCCACAAAGATTGAAGGTTCATTAATAGCTATGTGAGCACGCAATTTTTGCCCGGCATAAAAT